AGACTGTAAAATGGTACAACCACTGTGGAAACAGGTGTGATGCTTCCATAAAATTGGATATAGAAATACCCTTTGATCCAGTAGGAGTTCTGGTAGTATAGTGCCTAAGGCACTTGACTACTAACCACTCCTTCGAAGGAAGATTGGGCAATCTACTTCCATAGTGATACTGCCTTGGAAACCCAAGGAGGGGTCACTATGAGTCGGGTCCGACTTGATGGCAACTAACAACAACAACAACAACAATTTGATCCAGCAATCCCACTATTAGGAACATATCCTAAAGAGGTGCGACCCAGGACAAAATTAGATATATGCACACCTGTTTATTACAGCACTATACTATTCACAATAGCAAAGAGACAGAAAGAACCTAAGTGCCCATCAACAGAAGACTGGATAACCACACTGTGGTACATACACACCACTGTATGTATGTAAAACCCCCACTGGATTTCCAGGTGGTAAGTCTTTATGGAAGGAGATTGCCCCTTCTTCCTTGTGTGGAGCAGCTGGTGGGTTTGAACCACCAATCTTCTGGTAAGCAGTCAAATGCCTCATGCACTGAGTCACCAGTGCTCCTTAACCTTACACATGGTCGTGAGTATATTCCCATTCACCTACCCACATCTGATCACTCAGCCTGTCTACCTATGCATACACCCATGTTACTACTGTAATGTCTGTTACTACTGATAATGCAGTCTTACAAAAGCAGTATTATAATATTACAAAATTAATGATACTGTAACCAGAACAGTATCATTAAGGAAAAGGCAGACACAGAGACTGTGCACAATGGAATAATACTATGTACCATTAAAGAATGAAGAACCTGCAAAACATGTAACAATGTGGATGAACTTGGAGGACATTATGCTGAGTGAAGTAAGTCCACTATTTAAAAAGTCAACCAAAGTTACCTAAGGGGTGGGAAGGGAGGGAACACTGCAAAAATAATAATAATAATAAAAAAAAGGTCAATCAAAGGTTTACACAAGGGAAAGAAATTTTCTTTGTTGGTTACCCAGGATGGGAGGGGAGGGAAAACTGCTGGCTAGTTAAGAGACATGTATTGATGTAGATGAAGGGGAAGGCACTATTACAAAAGTATGTGACCAGCACGGTATCACTAAGGAAAAGGAAGACACGGAGATATGCCCGAGAGGTACAGACAACAAAGATAAACACTCTTACACACAACACTGCATTATCAGTATAACAGACATTTATCTACTGTGGATACAGATGCAGACAGACAGGCTGAACGACCAGGTGCGGGCAGGCCAATGGGGGTATACTCCTGACCACATAGAAGGTTAAGGAGCTCTGGTGGCTCAGGACCTAAGGCATTTGACTGCTAACCAGAAGGGTCGTGGTTCAAACCCACTAGCTGCTCCTCGGAAGGAAGACCGGACATTCTCCTTCCGTAGTGATACCGCCTGGGAAACCCAAGGAGGGGTTTAAGTCGGATCCGACTCAATGGCAGTGAATTAGTTTGGTTAGTTATAAAAAGTTTGGCAGACAATATTTCTACATAATTATTTGCTGTGCTATAAAAACGTCTCTCTGTCTATATATATATGGGTCTGATAGAAAGTGGTGAAATTCCCAAGACTATGGCCTCTAGTCACCTTTGGACCTGGAACTGAATTCATTCTTGTGGCTTCCAGCCAAACAACAGACAAGCATGTAAGGTGAACATTTACACCAAGTACGTACACTGCTTAGAACAATCAACCACGGGAGATCAGAAGGGCAGTAATTGCACAGGGAGATGGCTCAGGGGGCAGGACTGCAGAGGAAAGGGGGACACAGGGAAGGGGTAACCACAGGGAGGAGGTGGGAAGAGAGCTTTCACATTGTGGCGATCGCAATCAATGTCATGAAACAAAATGTGTAAACTTTCACCCAAATCACAATAAAAAAGACAAAAAAAAAGCCTATATATATATATGTAATAGAGGTAACGGAGGCAAAGCTAAGATAACTTCTTAGCCACAATCAAGCACCTTGAGGGAGTGAATTGCTGGGCTTGTGTGCTCAGGACCATGGTCTCAGGGGACATCAAGCTCAAGTGGCACGATATAGTACACGAAAATATTGTTCTACATCTTACTTTAGTGAGTAGTGACCAGGATCTTAAAAGCTTATAAGCGGCCATCTAAGATGCTACTATTGGTCTCCTCCATAGCAAAGAAAAGTGAAAAAAATAAAAGATGCGTGAAAACAGTTAGTCCAAGAGACTAGTGGACCATGGGAACCTCAGTCTACATCCCTGAGACTAGAAGAACTAGATGGAGCCTGGCTACCACTGCTGATCACCCTGAAGGAGGGATTACAACAGGAGGTTCCAGACAGAGTAGGAGAAAAATGTGGGACAAAACTCAAATCATAAAAAGGAAAAAAAAAAAACCTCTTGGTCTGATAGACACTGGCGACCCCCCAAGACTGTGACCCTTAGTTGCCCTTCTGGCTTGGAACCGAACTCACTCCCATAGCTTAACCCTCAGCCAATGGGGGAAACAACTACACCAGGGAGGTGCACTTCTTAGAGCAGTCAGCCATGGGAGGCCAGAAGGGCAGCATTTACAAGGGAGATAACTCAGAGGGAAGGAATGCGTGGGAAAGGAGGACACAGGGAAACGGTACCCACGGGGAGGAAGCGGGAAGAGATTGTGGGGATTGTAATCAATGTCATGAGACAAAATGTGTATGAACTATTGAATGGAAAATAAATCTCCTCTAAACTTTCACCCAAATCACAATAAAAAGTTCATTAAAAATCAAACATCCACATGTGAGCCTAGAAGAACCAAGCAGTGTGTCTGAGGCCAGAGGAGACACATGACACGTTACCAGATGTTACCACTGATGGGACTCCTCCGGTATCAACACCCAGCAGATCCGCTTTGCTCTCTCTTCAAGTTCCTGTGCCTTTCATGGCTCTCAGTCAGCTCCACTTTCAGAGGCCTCCTCGCCGTCTCCTTTCCCAGACTCCACTTCATCGCCTGGCCCCTTCCTCACTGCCATTCCAGCCGACCATTCGGAGGCAGATACTGGGCATATCTGTTCCCTCCAGCTCCCGTGACGGTGACGGGCATCGGGATTGGTGAGTCTGAGTTAAGGAATTAGAATCACTAATTCACGTCAAGAGAAACACCCTTTAGAGAGAACTGCACCCCGCGGCCTACTTCCAGATGCTAACAAGAAGAAGCAATTAACAAGGAAAAGAAAAAATCATCACAAAAAATGACCAGATAGTGTTTTCAAAAAGTGCTTTGAGAATTTACTGTACAGTTTTTTTTTAAACAATTTATTTATATGTTGGCTTCAACATGCTCTTACATTTGTGTAAAACATTTATACATATTCTTTACAATTTGTACATATATTAAATGGCTGTATCATAAACACTGTTCTATGGGATTTTATAAAAGAAAAGCAAGTGGGGACAATTACTTATAAAACATTAACAAAACCCCGTGACACTGAAATACACGATGTCCTTGTGTCCATGCCCTTTTGAGTTCCACATCTATTCATGTTTTGGTTTCATCTTAGTCACTGCCCAGAGGCTCCGATCACAAAGATACAGTTAGGTCGGAAGACTGCAAGCAACCAGTGTCTAGTAAGGCAACTGTGGAGGATGGAGATGGCCGTCTGCAAGGACAGGACGGCGTGTGTGCGGGAGTGACCCCCCGGAGGCTGACAAGTGGCTTGGTGGCAGTCACAGGCGTTCTAGTCATCAGGAAAAATGCCCGAACGTCAGGACCGACTCAGCAAAATCCCTGTGCCACACTGTTCTCTAAACTCAAAAGCCCAGGGGCCGCTGCATATCACTGAGGTGGCGTCCCACAGGTGACTACACGTTTCCTTTGGGTGGGGAAGGGAGAGGCCTGCCATCTAAACTGGGCTTTCAGCTCTTCTGAGAACCCGTTGGCCTGCTCATCCACACTCAGGTCAAGGCTCACCACGCTCCAGTGCCACTTCTCACCAGGCTGCCTGGTGCCCAGTTCGTCCAACCTACTCTTTCTGGTGCAAAACATGCCCTCTCACGATGGGGCAGGAAGTGCAGAGAGAGAAGGCACTGGTCTCCAGGTGAGAGCCCCATAAAAACCCAAATAAGTGGTTCTCAACCCACAGCGCCCCAAGAGGACAGAGTAGAACTGCCCCACAGGGATTCCAAGGCTCTCAATCTTTAGGGAAACAGACTGCCACATCTGTCTCCCGTGGAGGAGTTGGTGGGTTTCAACCGCCAACCTTTTGTTTAGTAGCCAAGAATGCAACCACTGCACCATCAGGGCTCCTTCCACGGGAGGACAACACATCCCAGATGCCCTGAGGAGGGGAAAGTGGCAGGGAGGAGGCAGAGAGGAGATCAGGACGTGTGCTCACGAGTGCGAGTGCGCGTGGAACAGCGCCCCAAGCCCTACACAAGGAACAAGGCGGGGTCACAGCCCTGGGGCTGCTATTCTCCGGCCAGCTCTAGAGTCATCAACATGGAAGTGAAGGGTGGGCTCACTTTCCTCGACAGACAGGATCCCCGAAGGACTGAGAGTTATAAAAATATACAAACGTACATATTTTTTATTCTGGCATAGCTCATATTTATAAGAAAGAAATTAGTAATTATCTGACATTGGATAAGAACTGGAAGACTGGGGGGGGGAATTATAAATTAGGATTCTCTGTAAAATATCAAATTTTCCATTCAAAATTCCGCTAATATTAAGTACTTTCCAAAAATAGACACAATTTGAAATAATGGCAGAGGAAGAGAACAAGAAGGCCGTCCCCAGACAAGGGAGGCACTGAGGCTGGTCAAGAAAGGAACACAATTGTTTCTGCAACTCTTTGTCTTTTAGTTCTTTCTTTCTTCTTTTCCTTATTACTATTTATATTTTTTTGGTGATAGGGAAGTGAAAAAAATAAACTTTAAATTGCATTGCCCACGTCAGAAAGAAGCACTTCGGCGTTTCCGTTGCGTTCTCTCTCTGCTACATAACCGGAAAGCGGCTGAGGGCCTGCCTCAGCTTTTCTGCAATCTGGGGAGAGAGCAGACCAGGTTGAAATGCTGCCCACTCCACCTCTGAGGATTCTAGTATTTACCGCCATAGGGCGGAAGGGTTTCCAAAGACTCACACACTTAAAACTGTGCCTTGGGTGGCCTCCCTTTCCACCCCACCACCCCTGCCTTGTCCCTGGGCCTGGACTGGGGACCGCCTGTGACCACTGTGCACCGCTGTTTGCTCCCTGCACCAATCTCCCCTCCACGCTGCTGCTGGAGAGACCTGAAATCACAGACCACACTGCCAACGATGGTGCCACGGCTGGCAGGACCAAGTCCCCACTCCTGTGTGTATTTACTAGCCTGCGAGGTTTCTAAGCCTGGTCTCTGCCTTCACAGCCAGGCTGCCCTCCTGCCTCTGCTGAGAGGGATCACTGACTGTTTACTCTTTATCTGATGAGTCAGGCAGACGGGGTTGGCAGGTACCCATCGATCTCCCTTCCCTTCCTGGACCCCTCCGACTCCTAGGACTGGGCTGGAGGCCACATGTCCCCATCACTCCCTGCTGTGTTCTGACACCGTGTCCATACAGTGCCTGCCTTCAAGATCACCCTGCTGCCCTGTAGGTAAGCCCACATGCCCATGTCTCCCCCAGGAAGACACAGCTCCCTGACAACACAGACCATGACTGACCGACTCATCCTGGGTCCTAAATCTGGAAA